GCCTGCACCTTCCCTCACCGCCCCTTGGACTCCCCGTACGTGTTGCGCAGCATGGAGACCATCTTCTCCTCGCATGTTACTTTGGTGTCCTTTAGGATGCTGTACCAGACCATGCCCGGCGGCCGGACCTCTTCGCTGCGGCAGAACAAGTAGGGCATGGTCTCGGTGCGGCTCTGGATGTAGGCACTGCGTAGCAGGGTGGAGCAGTGGCTGCTGACCTTCTCCAGCCTCCTCAGGATCAGGTGTGCTTTCCTGGAGGGGGCAAACAGAGATAGAGATAGAGATAGAGACAGAGCAGTGGGGGCAGTGCGAAGGGACCAGGAGACAGGACTTCTGGGGTCCACCACCAGCTCTGTCTATGAGGGTGCTGAGGCGCTGGCACAGGGTGCCCAGAGAAGCTGGGGCTGCCCCATCCCTGGCAGTGTTCAAGGCCAGGTTGGACACAGGGGCTTGGAGCAACCTGCTCTAGTGGAAAGTGTCCCTGCCCGTGGTTGGGGTTGGGACTGGAGGAGCTTTAAGGTTCCTTCCAACCCAAATCATTATATGACTTTATGAAGAATGCATGAGACTCATTTGTCTGACATTGCCTTTCCTATTTCAAGTGGAGAGAAGCTCTGTTTTGCCAAAATGTTCTGGGTGTGTCTACTATTCCACAGCACCAGGCTGGAGGGATCTCAGGTCTGACCCACAAGAGCAGCTTGGGTGCCCTGGGACTCTGTCTGCCCATGCTATATGGTCACCATCACCACTACATACTCTGACAGGCTCCAGCATATGTGCTAGTCCCCATGCACCCTGCTGAGACCCCCAGCAACCTATTGACGAGCCCAGCCCTCCCTTCCCTGTTTTCCCAAGTCTCCAGGAGGCAAATGGCCCAAAAGGACTGACACTAGAAGAGAGAGGAAAAAAAAGCACAACACATTAAGACAAAACAAAATAAACCCATAAGAAACCAAGAATCCCCTCGTGGGAGCCTGCAAAGTGCTAAATCAAACAAAGGGAGGGGAAAGAGGGTTTACTTCAGTGGTCTGAAAGTCTCAAGATCACAGATTATTTCCTCTCCCTCTGGTGCCACAGGAAAGCTCTGGATTCAGGGCTGGGGATTTCGCAGTTCCTGCAGGAATGTAAATTCCCGATAATGCTATGTCAGGGGCAGCGAGGCACAAACACAGGGATTAGTTGGTTATGAAAGCTGAGTGGTGTTGCAGCGCGGGGGGAGCCCAATGCACCCGCAGGCACCCGGCGACGGGACGCCAGGGAAGGGCTGCCTGGAGCCACCCAGCGCCGGAGCAGAGGGCAGAGACGGTGGCAGAAGGCAAGAGGGCATCCCGGCACCCCAAACAACTACAGACCAATCCCTGCAGAGCAGATACACTGGATGAAAGGCTGCAGCAAACCACTGCTCCTCCAGCACTGCATGCAGAAAACTTCCCTGTTCCGTCCCCAGGATGATGGGCTCAGGGTTGGCTTTACAGGGGAAGGGAAAAGGAAAGAGAGTTGCTCCTTCTTGGACAACACTACGTGGTACCCTTGTTTTGATTTACTGTATAAAGACAAGCCTGACTAAGCAATTTGAGTCATTAGCTATACACACACACATAATAGTGTCAAGGGCTGAGCTGAGTCCAGCTCTGACAAAAACCTCTGCTCATGCTACTCTTGGAGCAGCCACCTGACCTTCTGCAGCATCTGGTGCTCCCACTGCCAAGAACAGGCCCTTTGCTGCTGGATGTCTGCTGCAGAAGGTATGAAGTCCTACGATGGCATTAGATGCTTTCAGTAAAGACTGATTGATTAAAGCTCAGCTCAGCCGCAACCCAAAGTCTGTAGTGACTGTCACTACAGTGAACAAACTTCAGCAAATAAGTCACTGGGGCTTGATGGGACCAAACACCATCATCTGTGCCATTTCCTTGCTGGGAACTCCCTGCCTTGATGAATATCTGCCTGACCTGTTCTTAGAGCCAAGAACCCATGGTCAGCTCATAGGATGGATTTTGATGTGACAACTGACATGGGGAAGTTGTCCACCTGAAGGCCACCCAAACAACCCAGTGATTTTCCCCCAGATTGATTCCACAAGGCCTTTCCCAGCCGTAGCAAGAGGAGAGCAACAATGAGTGGCCATGATGACCCCTTGAGGCAAAGCCCAGTGGTGGGTAACCACAGCTTGGCCCTAACAACACAAGGAGTGGACTGCCCAGCACATTACTACATGCCTGCTGGCCAAGTTCTTCTCTTTCTCTCCTTCCTTCTCACCACTTCAACTTACTCCTAGTTCCTGTAGCTTTCTTTACCTATCTCTCAATTCTTCCCTGCACAACCTGCCTCTGCCTCCATTCCCCTTGACCTTCTTTACCTTCTCATTTTCATTTCTTGCTCCACCATACTTCCATGATATTCTGGATTTTGCTAAAAATTACCATGTTGTCCTTGCTCCCTGATACATACTCAGGTCTCTTATCTAGGCAAACATTTATACATGTGAGGAGCAGCTCTAGGTTGGCAAGAAGACCAGGGTCAAGCCATCCAGACCTGCTGGTGGCATCATGTGTTGGAAACTGTTCTCCTTGGAAAGCTGGTGTCCATATACCTGCTGCATCTGCAGCTGTGCTCAATACTGAGCATTCCCAGGAAAGAACCAGTGTTTAAGGGTGGGATGCAGCACACGATGGGTTGGTGCTACAAGGATGCTGAAAACACACTGCAGTGTGGTGAAGGAGGAGACAGGGTGGTGGGGAGGGAGGGAACCAGGCCCCTGGCTTTTGGTGCCCAGTGCCAAAGCCCCAGTTTTAATGGGTTTCACCACTTTGAGTCATTTATGTTAGTGGGGTAATGAAGTCATGTGTAAATGTTAGATTTAGCTTTTGGCTGTCAGCTGTTCCCTCTTAAAACAACTAAGGAGAAGGAGACCCAGAGTGGGTGAGGGGAAAGAGAGGCTTTCTGGTGAAGTGGGGTAATAAATTACAGGAGCAGTTCTTGGGCTGCCAATTTAACACCATAAATCAAGGCCTGGGTATTACCCAAGCGCTCCCTGCGGAGGGCTCTCGGGTCAGAACGACCACCTTTTCAAATCCTGGAAATGAAATCTTCCTAAATGCTGACCAACCTCATCCCTGCCAGGAATGGTAATTTATTGCCTTATTAAAGGGCAGGAATTGGGAGAGGAGTGAGTGAGGCGGGAGTTGCCTGTGGCCAAACCCCCAGCTCTCAGCCCCCAAAGGGATGAAGCAAACCTCCTCTCATCACCCCATTTCCCAGACAAGGGGTGCTCCCACATTGGCATGAGCCAGTGGTGCTCTCCCACCTGCCATGTGCACACCACAGGGGCTGTTGTTTTAAGTCGGTGCCAGCCAGGGACTGATTTTAGTCTTCACTTCTATGATGGATTTAGGAGGTCACAGCCACAGTCATAAATGATGAAGAGGGGGATTTAAAAATAGGCTCTACATGGCTGTGGTTCATGGCATGGAGGGGGAGAGGAAAGAGAAAGGGGATGGGTGCTGCCAGGGCACGTTCCAAGGGCTTGTGAAGGAACCAATGGCCCCACTGCAAGGGAGAGCAGTGCAGTGATTGCACAGGGGACAGGGCACTGAGGTCCCTGGTTGCCAGCCCCAGCTCTGCAAGGACATGCCCAAGAGAGGGAGATATGTTACCTCCTGCTCTGCCCAGCCCTGGGGGTGTTCCCACAGGGACATTTTTCCCCCACATGGAAAGGGGACAGCAATCACTCACGTTGAGGGCTGGGGTGGGATAAAAACATACCCAGAGCCAGTAGAACCTTGCACTATCATCTCACCTAGGAGGAAGTTGTTAAAAGAATATGAACCAGCATGAAGAAGCAAAGAAGAAATGATACCTGGGATAGAGGGAAGATGGAGATTCCTGGGACTGCTGCAGGGAGAAGGTGGCTGCTGGCTGCTGTGTTGCCATATGGGGAGATTTTGTCATAAATACAGATTTTTCCACTCTACTGAGAACTGACCTGGGTCTGTCAGACCCTCATAAGGGAGGACAATGAGTCCAGGACTTGATGGCCACTTATCACAGCCTCCCATCAGAACATCGCATTCCTCCTCGGTACCAGAAGGCAGCTGCTCTGAAGATGCACTTCATCTCCCGTGACTGTCCCGGCTGCCTGCCTGGTGACTTGCTCCAGCAACGGAGAGGCTGCGAGCCCTGGGCTGATGCCACATCCTGACCCCTGGTTGTTGCTGGAGGCCACAAGTAGGGGCATGGAAGGAAGATTTAAACTTAATTACTTGTCCTGCCTCCTCGTAAAGTCAGTGGTCATAAGAATTGTTCTGAAAACACACTGAGAGAAACTAATAGAGAAACCTCCCTGTTGCTGTGTCAGGAAGCCCTCTGGCTGCACACATCCAAAGGTCTGAATGCACAGTAGCATTAAACCTTCACTGGTTTAGACAGATTTTGTTGGAACAAATTAACTCTGCGAGATTTGCTCCATGTCTGCAAGAGGACTGGGGGGGCGGGGATCAGGAAAGGGTTTGTTGTTGCTAAAGGAGACAAGCAGGAAAAGGCAAGCCAGGTGCCAAGATGCTGCTGACCACAGAAAGTCCTGGTTTAGGGCCACCTATGAGCTAAGTTTTTAATGTCTCCTTAATGTAAACGGTCTGGCTGGGACATCTGGCTGTCAGCGTGTCTTCTCGCAAGCAGCTGTTTGCAGTAACCTGTGGCTTTCATGGAAACTGGGCTCACGAGGGCTCCAGGGTGATGTATTTGTTACATGGAGGCAATCAACTTCCCTCTTGTCGCTCTGGTTTATGAGGGAACATTTACTGCGAAGCTGAGGCTCATCTGATAGACATTTCAAGGTATGAAAATGAACGTCCCCCTGGGAAGGAGAACATTGTCAGTTCAAATCGTATCATGAGATGGCCTCCCTTGGCACATCCTCACTCTCCTCCTGCTACGTCAGTGCCTCTGTTTCTGTACAAGCTCCTGAGGAGCAAGGCTGGATGGCAGAGCTTTGCTCTTGTCAAGGGCCTGGCACTGGCTGCTGTGGTCTTTGTAGATGCTTCCCTTTGGTTGCAAGTCACATATTGCTCAAGTACAGAACAGGGGCACTGCTGGGAACTCATCTGGCTTGGTGAGGAAGTCAGACAGCAGCCGAATCGACCACTGACTCTAGATGTAGCTTGGTACAGTCAGGCAAGATGGGCAATTTAAATGTCACCTTGTAACTCTCATGGCTTGATGCAGGTATCAGGTTAGAGAGCATCCTTCAGTAAGTGTGTTGGGTCTCAAGTAACAGAGGAAATAAAGATGTCTAAGAAGAGGCTGATGGTTCCCAGGGATTTAGAGAGAGAGGAACAACTGAAATGATGAACGACTCTGCAGTGTCATCAAAGGAGGAGAAGGGCAGTGAGAGGGATGAGGATGGCTCTGTGCCAGAGGCTAATGAACTACCAAAGAAACTGACCAAGGTCATCTCTGGAGGAGGGAAAGCCCCAAGCCAGCTTGGATTTGTGTCCAGGAGGGATGTAAACTGTTGTGAGGAGCTGTCATCTGGTGTTAGGGGCAGATGCTCAGCAGTGTCTAACAAGCAGATAAAAGCAGCGTGTTTCCCAAGGGGCTGGGTGGTAGCCTGGCCTTTGTCAGGACACTGCCAGCCCCCTTGGTGCAATGTACTTCATTTACCTGTGATATCTTAAGAGTCACTGGGGTTTGCAGAACCAGTCCCTCTGGAAAGGTTCCTCTTCATACTCCCAGAACCAATCCTCTCCCAGCCCTCCTCAGAGCATGATGTATGGTAAAGAGGAAATACTTAAAGCATAAAGGTGTATATAGGTAACAGATGAGGTGCTGTGCATTTGCTGGCATCATTGCACAGTGTCAGGGGCACCAAAGGGCTAAAATTTAGGAGGACCTTTCTAGTGCCTATATCAGCAGTTGAATTACTCTTTTGGGACAGAGGGAAGGTGGAAAAGGGAATTTTGGAAACATTTACGGTTTGTATGGCAACCATATACTACCGTGAGAATAAATACATGTCAAGGCAGACAGATAGAGAAATAAATAGAAGGAAATGTCCATGAAAGATACTATTTAGAAGAGCCAAGTTTACCACATATCGATTGCTCAGTCATTGACTCCTCTATCAAACAGCCATTCTACAGACACAAGTAATAATCTGCTCACAAGCGCCTCAGCTCTGCCCTTCCAGGGGCTCAAAACTGTTTTCACATAGGATTAATCCCCCTGTAGCAGGGTGTTTGCATTGTCACACATGTCCCCAACCACATGAAGAGGTAGCAGGAGCTTCCTCAAACACCCCGACTTTGTACTGCAGGTCTTGGTACCTAATGCTTGTCACTGCACACACCACTCAACACATACCTACCTGCTGCATGTGTGCTCCATCCCCCTACTCACCCTTTCCAGTCATCCTCCCTGAAATTCATCAGGACATCTCTGAACCCTAGGGCAGCCATGGGCTCATCTACCATGGCTCTACAACTGAAGATCTGAGTTGGTCCCAGTTTACACTCTGTCCCAGGCCTAATTTACACCCTCCAGCTGTTTCAGCACTTGCAGCTCATCTGCACTATCACTCGCCTGGTTCAGGCTGGTTGCTAGATGCCCCACAGACACCCATCCAAAGACCTCCCCGCTGCTATGTCTCCCATAAGCACTCATCCAAAGATCAAGTGGGACCCGGTGGTCCTAGGGGATGGCAGGACAGCTTGGTGAACACCAGAAGAGGACTTCTCTCGGATGCAATGAGAAGGCAACGAGGGTCACATCCACAGCGGCCAAGCAGAAGTGTGCTCCAGGCATTGGGGCAGGGGAGGGTGCAGGGAAGGGACAGGTACCTGGGCCCCAGCTCGTCCTCACTGCGCCACACGAAGTCTCCAAACTTCTCGTAGTGGGAGTTGTAGTGATGCTGGACTCAGGAGACCTCCATCAGTGTGTTGTAGGCCGTCTGCTGCTCCTTCCCACTGGTGTAGCCATTGTAGAGGTTATAGATTTTGTCAGCTATCTCTGGAAAGGATCAGGAGGTGAGATTAATGAACAGCCAGAAGGTGCTAACACAGGAGGAGCAAAGACCTCGGCAAGGCTGGCAGGAGGGGTGGGCATCTAGGTGGGCTGCTGGTCCCTTGGGATTGCCCGCAGCCGTGTTTGGTGACCTGGGGAACATTTAAAGACTCCAGCAATTCTCCATGAAGGAATGGGAGGGGAAGGAAGGCTGCCAGCGCAGGCAGACACAGCCTTATCCTCTCATGTAGGGCAGGCAAGCTCTTCCCTAATTCACCGGAACAAAAGCAATTGCACAGCTATGATGCTAAAGGATAGGAAGAATACAACGCTGTTGGTAACCAGATGGTACTTCAGCCACAAATACAGCACATCATGATTGTGGTATCTACTAGAGCTGCTCAGATGTATTAAACAAGAGGGTGAACTCAGCTGTAGAAAAGGATTTTGCTTTAGAGTTGAAAAATGCACAAAACTCCATTCTCTTCCTTTGCTGTAGTCTCTTGTTTGCTCATTTTTCCTGGTAATGCTTATCAAGAACATGGAATAAAACATTAATCAAAACTTCCTTTTGTGTGCTTTTCAGAATAGAAAGCAAGGAAGAAAGAAAACAGGTAACCTGCCTTTCACATAGAGGAATCTTTAAATCTGAAAGCAGCCAAATGCTCTGGGCATAAGAACAAAAGGGATTGGTTTCAAAACTGGAAAATGCAGATGTGCAAAAGTGGCTGGGATTTTACTGGTGTTTCTGATTCGGAACCAAACCAGCTGCCACCAGCATCCTTCTAAGCACCCAAAGCCCAGTAGAGGCAAAGCAAAACTAGCAGGAAATGTCTTTTGTCATGGCAAATGAGGCACCTGAACACTGACCTTCTGCCTTGCTGTCATCTACTAGCGGGCAGGCTGTCCTCAGGGTGACTGTGCTCGGCTCTGAATGTCTCCCTCGTGTATCCACTGCGTAAAGGGTAAATCTGAAAGGCAGGAAAGAAAAGGAAAACTATGTCTTTATCCCCCAGTCCCACACCATGGGGTTGTTTTGGGAACCGGCTTTCACAAGAGGAGGGAAAAACGTGGTCCAGGCTCCTATCAGTCAGGTTTGGCATCTCAAGGAGATGCGAGATGGACTTAGAACAGGAGAGCACCCAGGGATGGGAGCCAGCACGATGGACCCCCTCCATTGCTGGGAGCCCTGTGGGGCTGCACCCTGCAGCTGCCTGACTGCAAGAGGGTGTAAACACCTCCAGGGTTGCTTTGTCATGTGCTGATGCAAACGTTATAATGCTCCGGCGTCTGCAAGCCGGGCTCCTCCGTGGCCCTCCTGAGACTGAGCAGTAATTCCTGGTGTAAGCGGGCTCTGTGCTGACAAGTGACAGCTCATACACATCCTGTGAATGGCCTTAAGGTTGTTTTCTCCCTCATTTCTCCACCAGGGTGGGGTTGGTAAAAGGGTGGGAATGATAATTTCACACTTGAAGCTAATGGAGAGCATCTGACAGTAAAATATGGCTTTTGTGTGGGATAAAGCATTCAATAAACAGGCTGTGGCTGCATGGGATGTCCTGGGATGCTGAGAACAGAGCCCTGGTCAGAGTATCAAAGCTCCAATAGCTTTTTCGCAGCAGGGGTGACAATCTTCTGTCCACTCTCCCAAAAGGCATTGGTTCATGTTTATTCCCTCCAAGCCAGGCACGGAAACTCCAGCTCACTTTAACAAAGTGCAGGAGCTGGCTTGAACCCATCCGAGGTTGGTGGTGGGGTACCCAGCTCCCAAGAAATAACACAGCCCCGCTCCTTATCCTAAAACTGAGCAGCTTTTGCAAGCAAGTGCAAAGAGTATCATAAAAGCAGCTAAAGCTTAAATGGGATTGAGACCTTGGGGTGTGTTTACTTAAGGAATGGTCCTAACTCCTCAGCATCCTTAATGAGGACAGAGCAATACCTCCCTTAACTTCACTCCACAGACGAGCCCTCTCTCTCCTCCAGGCTGCACCCCACACACATTCCTGATAAGAGCTGCTATTTGCACAGTAGCAATTCCCAGCACAGGACACATTCTCCCTGAACAATTAGCATTAGTTCCTTAACAATACTTGCTATCTGAAAGGATGCCAGCAGCCTGCCAAGGAACCCGCTTGTGTGTAGGGACAACTCCCATTTTCACTAAGCTGGGCCATGCAGGGGATGCACACGCTGAGCTCACCCAAGGAGATGCTATTTAATTCTTTGGCATGACATCATTTTCCTTAATTTACAAGGAACGTTGCTCAGAGTGGGAGCAGCTCAGGAAGGATGTCCACAACTTCACAAGTACCACACACAGGCTGTTCTCCCGCTATAATTAAGGGACAGCAACAGAGCAATAGGGTAATAGCGAATTTAGGGCAGGAGTCTAACTTCAGGGCTTTGCATCCCACCCCAGAGGTGCCACCTGCCTTTAGTAGACAAAGGGTTCAAGGTGAGTAAGGAGTCTCCAGAAAGCAACAGCAATAGCAGCACCCAGTGTTGGATGGGGGGACCTCAGACCCAGTGTGACGAGGAATTCTGCATTGGGAGAGCTGGGCAGTGCTCTTCTGCTCATCAGTGTAAGCACAACAAGCAGTAAGAGGGCTCAGCACGCAGGTTACTGCTGCGAGCTGCTCTCCATCCCCATCCTGGGGCCACTTGCTTAGCCACAGAGGTTGGGTTGTTATGTTTCCTTTCTTAAATGGGTGAGCACAGCTAATGTGTAACCTCTGCTCTGCCTTGTAGCCACTCAGGCAGTGAGGCTCCATTAGCAATCAGAGTCAGAACACTTTCCATGAAAAACAGCAGACTTTTATCCAAATGCAGTTCTAATATGCAGCAATTAGTGCCCACATCACCTATTCCATTGCCAGGGGGGTCGGAAGGATTGGTTGGATGTTAAAGCACATCCACCCCTTTGGATGATGTTAAAGACCTGTGTTAGCCCTTTGACTGCACTTTTCCCCTCTGCCCAGCATGCACAGGAACAAAGTCATTCAGCTGCCAAGAGCAAGAGCATCTGGACTGGTCAGACCTAGGTTAAAAAATACATATCAACAAACAAGTCCTTCGGTTAATCCTTTTGTTTTCAAATGATAGAAGAAACATCCTCCCCCCCCCACTCCCCAAAATGTAAATGGAAAAACATCCGAATCAAAGTGATTTTGATCTGCTCAAAACCACTTTTTTTAAGGAAAAAGAAAAATACTTGCTTTACCTCACCTGAAACCAGCCCTCTTTCAAGAACCTCAGGGGAAAGTTCTTCATTTCCATTCACTCAGAATAAGATGTTTTGGAATCAGCACCAATAAATCCAGCTCTGGTGGAAGCTGGCTGGCAGCACACAGCCCTCTGCACCTCTCCAGCTCCTTCCAGTGAGTGATCTCAGAAGGTTTTAACATTAATTACAGTCCAAAAGATCACCCTGAAGCACAGCAGTATTAATAGCTCTGTCTTATCGGTGGTAAACAGAGACACACGGGGTGAAGCACCGTGCCCCAGAGAGGCTCGGTGACACGAACAGTTTGGAAACTCAGGAGACCACGGTTTCCAATCTTGCTCTCAAACCACTTGACCACCCAGCAAAACACTTTCATGACCAGTTATTGGCCCTGTACAGAGTGCTGGGATTTATTTTTCACTTCTATTCCCAGAAGCAGACAATAATGAAGAGAAGAGAGTGCAAAGATCTGCAGCTCAGTGTAAACCTGGTATTAACAGGCGGATCTTGCTTGCTGCATCTAAGAGAAACCTCCAGCAGATGCAGCCGAGGTGCCACCAGCAGGGATGGGACCAGTAAGAGACAAACAAAGCACAAAGGTGGTGGCACAAGAGGGAGCACAACCACACGAGAGGGATGGGGAGGTCTGCACATGAAGGGGAAACAAGGGGAAAGCTGAAGCAAGCACGGCTGAGGGAGGGAGCTGCGCAGAGCACGTGGTGGGCTGGAGTCTAGCGTTCTGAGCCAAGGACCAAAGCAGGCAGCATCCCTACCAACAATGATGGAGCTGCACCTGATGATGACAACTCTGATAATCTGCAAAACAAAAACAATGAGGCCAAAGAGTGGTTCTGAGTGTTCTGCCCAAGGCAGAGGATCTCTGGGGTGAAGTTGAAGCCAGAAACAAAAAGGTTCCAAATCCACACTGAGTGCCTGAAACACGTCAGACAACCTGGAATGCCATATGGTAGCTACGACCTGGCAGTACCTCCTTTGTAACCTGGAGGTGTTTTGTTTAGCAATCAACTTTCCTCACAATGGTTTCCCCTGTTCTCCTGTGCTTTACAAAGGAGCTTGGGGCTACCTGCTACCGTCTCGCAGCTGATCGTCTTCTCCATCAGTGCCTTCAGTAAGAGCACACATGAACACTTCTTTTTCTACAAATACTAAGACATATTTTGCCCAAAGAGGAACCAAAAAGCATTTCACCACTCCAAGCACGTATGCTCTTGGCAGACATCAGCCCTCCATGCCTGGAAACGCTGCCACCTCTGCAGCAAAACACAGTGGATGAAGTCCTACAGAGTAATGCCACTGAAATGTTTACTACTAAACTCACTATACTACTATTGGGATCTGAAGGAACTTTTACAGAGAGATAGAAAGCAATTAACATTTGGCCTCATGAAATGTCAAAACCTTCCTCGTAGATACCCTACCCAGCATTGGCTGAAGCCTGGATTTTATCACTAGGCCCAAGATGGTTCTTGGGGGAAGAAGAGAAAGCAGAGGGGGATGTTAAAGCTTCGGTTCCTGGAATCCAATGAGTGTGGAAGATGGTTAAATGCATTTTAAAAAATTAAAGAATAGAAAAATGTTTCTATTTTTCTAGTTTTCTATTCTAAATGTTTCTCAGTGCAGAGAAAAAAATAACAGAAAATACAAACTTCTAAAGGCACGAAACCGTAAGGCTGAGAATGAAGCCCCAGAACATGTTACTTATTTATGGACAACGTCAGCTCATGGTTTTTTACTCCCTCTCATAATACTCATGTTTGAGTGCTTTACTCATGATCCTTACTTACGGGAAGGGAGATAAGAACTTCTGCATCTGACCTTCCTTAGCTCAGCAGTCTTTATATCCCATAGAGATACCACAGGCATTTCTGTTCTTCCTTGTGCTCTGCTCTTCCTGAAGCCTTTGGGCTTGTGTAGCTGCCTGATGAGATGCTGTACCACAAACAGGCTGCCTGGGCTGCTGAGAAGAGGGTCCTATAAAGACTCCAGCACCCATGCTAAGTAACTGGGTGCCTGTGAGTAGCTGGCTGCATCCAAAAGCAATGGCTGTGGGACAAACCCGAGCTGTGCTATAGAAAGCCCTGCACCATGTGAATGGGGGAAAAGGCAGAGATGCTGCTCCAGAGTCCAGCAGAAATGTGGTCTCATGCTTTCCAAAGTGGTGCAACCACAAGCTGCTCTTGCCAGTTGGCTGGAGCATGGCTGATAAGCCTGGGCTCAGCACCTTGCTCCTGAGGCCACAAGACTGTGGTGAGCTCCAGGAGCTGGGTGCAAGGTAGACCTGGCCACTGCCACACAGGGCACTGGATTCCCTCTCTCCTGGCAGTGTGGGTACCACTGCCCATCATGCTGAGCACAGAAACACAGATCCCGACCTGTGTGGCATCGCCTCGGTGTTACGTGCACATCCTGCCATCACCTCTTGTCAATCACAGCTTGTCTGTGCCTCCTGCACAGCCCAGGGTCTCTGGGCTCACATTCGGCCAGCGCTGCTGAGGCTGGTCCAGCATGCTGACACACAGACATCACACCCCTGCTTTGCCAGCCCTTCTTGCTTCCTGTTCCAGCTGAAAAACAAGTCAGAGGCCCCTGTTTAAAAGCTCTCAATGGACCAGCTCTTGGCAATCCCTGCATCCCTCCTCCTTAGTCATATCAGCATGGGACTGGGCATGAGGGATGTGGGGCCAGCAATGCTCTGGATGTGCCCAGACACAGGGACATGCAGAGCAG